CCTGTCACTACCGTCACGGATTTCCGACGTTCTGATTGATGAAAAACTAATAAAAAACCTTTCATTAGTGGATTGAGTGTAAGATGAATATCTGGGGTGGTTTAGATTTTTTTTGTGGCCAATGAATGTCGTAGGAGTGGAGGAACAACGTGGACTCATAATAGTATATTTCGTAACGAGTGCAAAAAAGTGTTTTTTGGCGAGTGGGAGGTTTATATCACGAGCCGAAGGCGAGTGATATAATCCCACGAGCTAAAAAACATTTTTTCACGAGTTACAAACAATATTTTTCATCACAATGTGGCGGAAATTCGACTTTTAGTCACAGCGTGATGAAAAGTCAATAAAAAATTGCTAATGTTTAGGTTTGGCACTTTTCCTTTGAAAACAGAATTGAAATAGAAAATGCCTGACTCGTTGTCAGGCAGTTTTCAAGGCGTCATCTCACATTTTCTAGAAAAATCGAGAAATTTCTCGAGTTTTCTAGAAAATTCGAGAAAATTTTCAAGTTTTTTTTAAAGAGTCCAAGAAAGTTGTTGAGTTTTCAAGTGAATTCAAAAAACTTCTCAAGTTTTTTGGGAAACTCGAGAAATTTCAACTTTTTCTTCATTGACTTTTACTTATCATAATAGTATATTCCGTTACGAGTGCGAAAAACACTTTTCCCACGAGTATCGAACGATATTTTTCATCACAATGTGTGGAAAAGAGACGTTTTAGGCACGCGAAGCGTGCCAACTAGCCGATCGATGAAGCGCATGCCTCATGTGGCCAGTTGGAAAATAATTTTTAAAATTGTTGAAAATAGTGAAATTTTAGATCCAAAATTTCTCATGCAAAAGAGATAGTCTGCAGACATAGAAGGATTCATTTGTGGCTAACAAATCGATTCCCTTCAGTATGTCGGAGTCCATTTGTATTAAAATAGAATAGTTCATGGCCGTTTTAAAGAAACGAACATTGAAGAAACGTTTTTTTTGTAATTCGTTAATTCAAACATTTTGTATTTGTTTCAACTTCTTTCTGTCAACTAAATCATTTGTTAACTATCAAGAAATATTTTTTGGTCGCAATCAACTCTACTATTTGTTAATAGTTGACACACCTTACCTAGCAATAGATAAATGTGGGCGTCCACATGAAAAGGGCCCACTTTGACAGCATTGGAGTTATGTATGTTCCAATAATCTTGATCAGATTTTTCACATTCTGAGCCCAAATCAACCCGATAGAATGAAAACTGACGTCAGTATGGACGATCAAAAAAATAATTTAACATTGGTTTTATTGGAAATGGGTGATTTTGAATAAAAATCAATCCGGTTGAGTTGAAACTTTTCTTTATTTACAATTATATACGAGGAAGACACATCCACACGCTTTGAGCTCCTCAGATGGACTAACTAAAGAAACAAAGATCCCAGAGGTCTGAAACCCTGGCGACATAGACCCACAAAGGTCTCTATTCATTTACAGATGTTTAGACTGAAAAACCAAATGCCCAAACATTCGTCCACGCTCTTCTCACAATTTCAGATCAGAAAAATGTTCTCTTATAATAATATAAACATACTATGAAATATAGAATTAATTTTTGTAATCATGGAATGTGAACTCCAACAGGTTTAAATGGGAGATGTGGAGAGAAAAACGTGAATATCTCGGAAACTAGATGCGACAAAGTGGGCCCTTTTCACGTGGACGTACACAAATCATTCTATCAGACCCGAGACAATCGGGTTGAAGTTCCCGGGAATTTTTAGATTTAGAAATTCTCGTTTGTCTTCCGCAGTTGTCCCATCCATCATAATTATTGAAATTTTTTTACGAGACAGAGTGTACCAAGATTTAATCGTCATAATTCCACCTAATCCCCCAGAATAAGATTACCATTGACACTACTCACGACAATTGCTTCTCCTCCCGAGCAAATTCTCTAATAAAATGCACCTCGGTGAATTCAGCCGGATTATCATTCATTTTTAGCCTCACCCTTGCCAATAAACTCTGGGTACACGTACAGACCGAAAAACCTAGAGTACGAGATTAGCTGTTTTTCCCTTCTTTGAGTCGTACAATAACATGAATAATATTCAGAAATATATTGGGGTTGGGATGCGGATGTATATGTGCGTGTCATGTCGTACGTTGTAATATTCCAGCCGGTCGAACCGATTCGTTTCAGTTGGGGTGGGGTCATCAAGTGACCCCCACTCGCATGGTAAATAATTCCATCAGTGATTTCTTTCAATATTTCTTATTCTGAGCTGAACTAATCGCAACTCTTTCGTCAAAAAGTTTTGATTTTTAGGAAAATGCCACTGATTTTCAGGGACCCATCTCTAATTTTTAGTAATCTGTTACTACAATCCAGTGATTCCTTAAAAAAAACAGCGACATATCCCTGGAAATCAAAACTTTTTTCTCTCTGGGTGGATTTATGGTATCAATTTCGGAGGAGAAATTTTGGTTCTCTGAATAATTGACGAGGTTGGCGGATAGAATTGGAAAATCTATACGATTGATAAACTCAGGATGGATTAATTCATTTTTTCCAGAGATGAACCTGAGAATAATAATTCCGTGATGAGACAGTAAACGTGAGAGACGTTGATTATTATGAATATTCGATCTCTCTATAAGTGTTTTTGACAGACATTTCTCGTTTCGAAACTTATCCTGCAAAAAAAATCATTGCCATTATCTTCGAAAGCCAAAAGTTCCCGAGACGAATTCACAGAAATGTCGAAATTCGCCTATAACTTGTGCTAATTACTGTCACGCGGAAACTAAAAACCCAATTACTACTAACGGAATGAATTCTATTTAAACTAGCTCTACCCGTCGGCCGGGCTATGCTGTACTTTTGAATATTTTTAGTTTTTTAATTTTTCAACTAAATTACATGTAAAAAATGTGAAAAAATTTGTACCCAGTCAGCATTATATAAATTAAATTTCGCAAAATATTGATATTCTTTCAAACATTTCCCTCTTATAAATAAATAATAAAACTTGTTTGCAAAACAGTGGATTATTTTTTATGAGGTGTCAAAAAAATTCTTGATTTTTTCACATCTAATGAAAAAAAAATCAGATTTTAATCTTTGATTACAATGGAAATGTTGATTTTCACATAAGACACAGGGATAAATCCCGATTTTTAAACATTTCTTCTTTGAAAAACCAAAACGATAATTAAATTGAGAAAAAAATTAGAATTCCGAATCTAATCGAGTTTTCTGCAATTTCTTTGCAGTTTTCAATAATCTTTGAATTTACCGTACGGGTAGAGCTCCTTTAAACCAATGTTCAACTATTTTCTCAATCTTCGCTATCAACCTCATTCCTCTCCCCCCGCCTCAAAATCATTCCCTAATTCAGTTAATCATCGTTAATGTCAACCCCCGCCCAAATTGAAATTAAAAGGGTTACGAACCCCCCGGAGGCTGATTGAAAGTGAAACGGGCCAGTGTCGTCGACTCCGCCAACATGCGATAGGTAAAGGAGTAGTTGTCAAGTATTGACGAGACAAAAGAGAAAGAAAAAAGACCTATTGCTTACAACAGAGCATGTGTGACGGCGTAACACGAGAGGATTATAACATCAGTGGGTAATTCTGTGTAGAGAGCTTCCAACCCCCCTCAGCAGCAGTAGATCCTCCACCCTTGGATGCTCATTCCACTGGATTGTATATGTTTTCTTTTTCCAACTCCCCTTCTCTCCTGCTTTACCCCCTTATTTCACTCGGCCCAGGACATTTGCCATCTCAGTTCAACCAACAGCAACTGGTATCCAGTGACTCGGGGCATCGGCTCAAGAGAGGTCCAGGGTCGAGCGACCCCACTGGAGAACCCCCGAGGGGAACGATGGGCGCACTGTCAGTGCGTATTATCGCAGCACCCCCTCATCTCTCTCTTTCGATTCTCGTCTCCCTCTTTCAACTGTGACATCAACGCTCTCTCGGTTTATACTGTATATACTGTCTCGCCTTCCTTTTCTGTTTGTGGGGCGGGGGGGGGGGCTGTCTTTTATACACATCTTGTGTCAACTATTAACAANGAGGAATATATAATACACCCTATCGGGGACAACGCAAGTGCAATGACGCGACCAACTGTCGCGTCTAATCATCTCCCAGACGAGGACCAGCGTAAACTATCCCACGATATTGATTGATATTTCATCAGCAATTGTTTTTAGTTTTTAATGGGAATGCGTGGCGGAGGGGTTAATACGATGAAATAAGTTACAAGCTATCTCCAGAGTTTAATATTCTGGTGGGATAATAGGTAATATTACATAATAATTATCCGATAAAATTTTCAGTCTCCAATTCTCAATTTCTGTCATTTATTACATTCATTCTATCAAAATACAAGGATAGAAATCGAATTTATGGGTTGTCTTCTATTATTTGAAAAAATATATCGATTTTAAGACTTTCCGGAGACATTGAAAATTTTTTTTAACAATTTTTTACCGTCTACGGTTTATTGCATTGAGTGAGATTTCGAATGCCTCTTGTTTTGTGATTGTTTTTATCATAAAAAAACACTTTTTATTGATCTTTAAAATGATTGCTCTTCATTCAATGTTGTAACTTGTGAAGGGAAAAATATAAATAATAAGGATCAGAAAAGAGGATAAAATTAAATTCGTCGGATTGTGAAGACGGAAATGGAGTGAAAATAAAATAAAACAGTATAAATTAATCTAGTGATTTACATTTTCAAGGACAAATTTTAATTTCATGAAATTACAATTAAACAACCATTAAACAATATCTTTACCTGAATTTCCCTGATTTCTGTAAACTTTCGTGGAATAATTGAACTGAAATTTACAGCTTTCATGAATTTTTTGATCAAATTGTGAATTTTCAATGACGAAATTTCAGTGGAATTATAACGTCATAAACTTCCCAAGAACTGTACCGGAAATTTCCGTCAAAATTTCTTGATAGAAATTATTAGACTGGAATACAATTTTTGTTTGCAGATTTCTAGTGACTGGAGGATTAATCGACCGAATATCCCGTCACAATCGTGCCCTCATCGAGACAGATTTCTTCCTAGACCAGGACCACGAGTCTCAACTTCTCCTAGCATCCTATGACCTTTTGCACCGCCTGTGTATCCATTCCAAACGTACCCACGAGAATTCCAATTCCACTCATGATACCGAGCAGATAACAGTAGATTCCCACTTACTGGGCTGTCTGCAGTCGAGCGAAGCTGCTGGTAGCGTTGGCTGTCTCTATGCAACATTTGCACTGGCGCATCAGAAGTGCTCTTCACCCACCCCGGGGCAGAGTCACTTTACATCTTATGGGAGACTACTCGCTTTGCGGGGACTCAAACTGCTGAGAACTGTAGGCCAAGTTGATCTACAAACACTGCAGGTAATAATTGCGTTCGACAGACTTTCGATTGAATTACGGGCGGAAAGGGATAACTCAATTGGAGTGATGAAGAAAATCAACCCTTTTTTCTATCGGGGCAGTCTAATTGACTTCTTGTTTCATCGAGTCTCTCATTTTCGTTTCTCCGTACGACTTCCTCCAGAATCATTGCATGAGGGAAAACAGAGTGGAAAAACTCTCATTGAGATGACATGACCCTACACAGCAAAAAACAATGTCTGAATTTCACGCACCTTTTGTCGACATTTTTTAAACACTAAAAATTGCAGGCAGCTGTATCGAAGATTTCCTTTCCTTTTTTCTTGAATTTCCTAGAAACTCCTTGCATTCCCTCGAATTTTCTGGAAACTCTTTGAATTCTCTCGAATTTTCTAGAAACTCCTTGAATTCTCTCGAATTTCCTAAAAACTCCCTGAATTTCCTCGCAATTTCAAAAAACTTCTCAAATTACCTCGAAATGTCTAGAATTTTCTAGAATTCCGATAGATGGCGCTGCCCATAAGGACCGTTTCCCAAAATTACCCCCCATATTGAAACCATAGACGTATCATCGTCAAAAACGTTTGAATAAAATGAAAATGTGTCTGAAATTCAGACGAACAGGTGCCCAACATCTTAATTTATGTTTGAAATTCAGGCAAATTTTCATTTTATTCATACATTTGTTAGTGTCTGAAAAATGTCTACAAAAGTTGTGTGAAATTCAGACATTCATTTTTGCTGTGTAAAAACATAATTTCTTCACGTTTCATAACATTCTGGACCATTTGGAATCAAAATTAGAAAGTCGAAAAATCGGTTGAAAACAAGGCTTCCATTCGGAAGCAAAAACAAACAGATTGTTTTCAACGATAAAGAAGAAATCATCTATCAATATAATCGTCTCCACCATATTGGGACGCGCCTCCTCGAATTTTTTTTTATCCATTAACCCACGGGGGTTTTTTGAGCACTCGATAGAGACATAAACCCAGCTGGAGATGTAAAGAGAGAAGGGCTTGGGGGGGGGGCAGGGAAAAGGGAGTGAGATCTGACAGGCGGTTGCGGCGATCAGACCACGAATTGAATCGAAACCGGCACCTTCAGCGTATCCACGGTAGCCCAAAGTAACATAAGTGAACCGGGGGAGTGGATTTTGCGGGCCCCCATGTTTCCCGACGGGATCCAAACTGCCTCCCATGGAGAATCCCGCGGGAGATCACTCGATTATCCCTCGTTGAGGTACTCGGAGATATATCCGCAGGATAAAAGACACCCGAAATATTTTTGCGATGGAGACCGAGGAATTCATTAGCTATTCTCTTTGCTGGAGAACTCACATATTGCGGCATGTGGAGAACATTATATTTCACAGCAATTGATTTGTGTGATCTTTCCACGGAGATGTCACGATTTTTTCGTTCGATTTCATTTACTTTTCGTTTCAAAGAGCTGAGTAATCGATTTTTGCGTAATTTTTATAATAAAATGCGTGAAATGACTCATTCATTGTTGGAAAATGATGAATTTTCAGAACAGTGACTGTAAATGCGAGTTAGAGGAAAAAATTATGAAATTTCAGTAAAATTCCAGAATTTTAAGCAGCATAAAGACGAGAATTCCTTAATTTATTTGAATTTCCAATCTAATATGAATATTCATGATTCTTTCCCCCTAAATCGCATTCAGTATCACCGTCCTGAAAATTCAAGAATATATTTACCGGAATTTTCTGGTTTTCCATTCATTTTCAGGGAAAAATGGAACAAAAAATTTACAGTTCTCTTTGATTTTTCCACAAAATTCTGAATTTTCAATTATGAAATCCCTTGAAATGTCAGTGATAATTAAATTCAATAAAAATTTCCAACAAGTGTACCGGAAAATTCAAACAAAAATTCTTAACAGCGTACCTAAGGCCCGAATCATGTCAAAAGAACACTTTAGAGATGGCACGACACTTGCAAATTTTTAACATCAGCTAGCAATAGTTATTATAACTAATGCCATTATCTAACGATTTAAGGCATTCTTCATCAGAATTTATCAGTGAATGTACAATGACAAAAATCTCCCCGAGTTCATGACCTCGAAGTGGAAAAATATTGAACAAGTCGTGCAAACACCCTCTTCCAAGAATGGAATCACTTGGATATTCAATCTTAACAACTTCTCTCTTGATTTTCCTCCATCCAGAATTTATTAGGCGCAGAAGGCACCAATCTACAGTGGAGATTAATAGCAAGTCATTTGATCACAAGATTCCAAAGAGAGCCTCTAGCCGATTCCACGGACAGTCAATCCACCCAGACATCACCAACAGCTATTACGATACTCTCCGAGCTCTTCAGTGTCCTTGGCTACTTCGCCGTCAATAACATCGACAATCAGGTATGCTCATACCAGAGAGTTCTCCAGATTATTTTAAAAGTCTCTCTCCCCCCCTTGAGTCGTCTTGATATCGCTGGAATGTCACGAAAAAACTTAGCTAATGGTTGTAGAATATTTTTCACTCGTTATTATCAGCTCTCGAAAATAAAACCGGGCATTATGGTGGTGGAAAAATGTAGGTAATGCATTGGGGTTGACGAGAGGTTTTTAACGTGACGAATACCAATAGTTCCATTTAGGAATTGAGACAAATTCATGAAGCAATCAGGTCGTAAATAACTGAGAGAAGAAAAAGTTGAAATACTGGGATATAAAGTGCGGTATCTCGGGTAGGTTCAAACGAGAAGTGACGAATGTGTTGGACGTCATGTGATGCACTCAGCGTGTATATTTCGGCGCGTGCCACCATTGGACTTCTCACAGAAGAGTATTGGTGAGAGAAAGAGGGCTAGGAGTATGAGAGAGATCTCGGTAAGTGGCGTGGATGGAAAAGCACGCTGGAAATGAATGAAATATATATCTTAACGGTAGTTTTTCGGCCGCTGGAAAGCATATTGATGGGAGGTCCAAGTGTCTGAGTGTGTTGTGTCTAACAGCTTGTTCATTCTCTTCTCCTTTATGCTCACTTGGATTTTTTTTTTATTTTCTCTCTCAATTTTGTCCGTTTGCCCACACCAGTGAGTTTGAGAGATCTCTGAAGGGCTCCTTTTGGCGCCTCATCGTCGTCCTCCTTCACTTCAAACTTTTTCATGTCGTGCGAGATAAATAGAGATCCACGGGATTTTTTTGAGCTCACGTGAACAGTCCATTATTTTCTCGGTTACGATTATTCTTTCCCAGATGTTAAACCATTGAGAATTGTTTTGATAAATTATACACGTGTAGTTTTCGCAAATCCGATTGGCATTAGCATACAGACGAGTTTTTGTGGATTGGATAAACAAAGATCTGGGCTGAAGTCAACACTGTTCTCGGTTGGTACTCCCCTTTTTTATACAGAAGGAGTTGAAAAACTTTTCAGCGTGAAAAAGAGAGGCTTCATTCTTTTATATTTTCGGGTGTTTGTTTGTAGTTGTCAGGGAATCTTGTTCGTTTATTCCCATTATCATCAGTCAATGGCGCCAGACTATACGGGCATCGAGGTGCAGGTGGATAGCAAGGGAAAAAATAGTCAGTAACTTCGTTCGAAACACTTGTTCACAGCAGGTGATGTGACTTTGTGGCCGTGTATTATGCATCGAGAACATTTCCGTGACACCTGGGTCCATGAGCAATTCCCACGATCTTATTGAGGTATATGGTAATTCTCTTTATGCTATTCGTTGCAGTTGGTTCTACAAACTGCGGGCGCTGGCCCAAGTGTACTTCAGCATCTCTGTACATTGCCATTTCCTTTTTATGGTGATCCGAAACTAGCACCGTTTACCCTTCCAACACTTCTTGCTGCTACGCACGAAAATCCCGATGCCACTGCTGTTTTGTCATGCGAAATGTCGTATCAAGTGAGTACAGAGAGCAATAGTTTAGTATAGGGCATTCAAATCTTATGTCACACGTTTGTGATGTCACTCCATATTTTTTTCCATTTTTAATCGACGAAATCGTAAATGGAATTTCGTTCTCAGTCTTTTGGCTGGAGCAAATGGTTCATTGTTCACCCAATCATTGTCCCCTTTTATTATTATTTTTTTCAAATTCAATGCTGTGAAGAAATTTTGTGTCTAAAAATTCCAAAGAACGTGTGACATCATGTTTGAATGGCCCAGTGGAGACATTCCCACGCCCATTGTTTGTTTAATGTGTTTTATTAAAAATATATTCAGCTTCTGGAAGAATACAAAAAGTCAGAAGAAGGCCAGCAGCATCCTCTAATCCGTCTTCTGAAGGACTCATCGTGTAAATAAATTCCAATGCGTCTCCAGACCAGGAGCGAGCTTGCCAAATAATGCACATGTAATTTCTCAAGATATTTCTTCATCATTGTTTCTTGTAATTGATATGAGTTACCGTCTGAATGTGATTTATATTTAACTTATTTTCTGTTCTGTTCTGTTTTACATTTTGTTTTTTCTTTGTTTGAGATACGAGACGATTTTTAAAATCGCAATTACCTCGGTGAACTCGCAGAATTGCGAAGGTTTATCATATCATAATTTATTAAGAATTTAATGCAGTTGATAGCATTAATAATTTTGGGTGCAACAAGAGTTGCTGCAAATAGTGCAATGTCCTGCCAATGCAATTTGTACTCGTGGTATTATTTAATCATACATACACTCAATAAAACTCATGATAATAATAACGACGTGAGGCCACGGTGGGAGTCATAAATGTCTTACTTGGCCCAATTATTCGTCGTTTTCATTTTGATAACTCTGAGGTTATTAGTTGACCTGCTCTTTTCTGATGAAATAATGTCATTTAGGTATTAGAAATCATCGATCTGCTCATTGTTAGATATTTGTCCGTTTGTGGATGCACTTTGGGAAATTGAACGAATAGTCCGGAATAAGAAATTAGAAATATCCCATTCTATAAATGACAAATCTTGTCGAGTCCATTGAATGTCCATTTCAATCATAAAATCATATTTTTGTATGAATAAGTAATCAATTAATTAGGTAATCAGTGATTTCTTGGAATTCACGCATTTAATTTTATATATTTTTGGAATGATTGGTGTTACTTCTCAACGGTGGTGATTTGTATACGAAAGATATTTTGTTTTCGTCTAAGTACTTCACAGCTTTATAAAGAATTCAATTTCCTCTGGAAGTTGTAATTTTCCTCCACAGCAGCTAAAACGTACTCTATTCAGGATTCTTATCAGAATAAAATTCTCTGTCGCAACGGTGACTTAACAATAATGTATACAAGATAGAAACATTAATAAATACTGTTTATCCCTCTTTTTCTGTAAACACAGGGGTTTTCAGGGAAATTGGAGAGACTAGTCAGCGAGGAAAACAAATAAATGTGCTTTTTCGCTAAAACTGACGTATTATTTTACCCTTCCATTAGACTAACGTCCACACATATTATTCCAGAGCTTTTTGCAAATTATATTTCCTCGATTCAGAGAAATATGAGTCCCGAATGACGAAAAAAAAAGTTTGCCTCAATTTGCGCAATTTTTGTTTGCTAAAAATCCGATATTGGGTTACCTGGCGAAAAAAAAAATTGGGAGAACAGTGGGCATTATCGGCAGTCCACTGGAGTCCGTCGATCGATGTTCATCCACGTAAAAGGGTGGGTGGAGAGTTGAACGCGCGGAGAACGCGGGGGGGGGGGGGGCTTGCACATNAGAGGGAATGGGAGGGATAACCAGTCGGCGTGCTCTGTAATAAGCGTAATGGATATGGCACCCCCATTGGCATGCCTACTGACATAAAAAAAGACTTTGCAAGTCGAGTCGTCACGATGAGTTTTATATCGCTACTTCAATCGTCACAATTTACAGCTGTAATGAGTCGAGAAAATAGAGGGAAATGAAGGAAAATTAAACATCTCTTATTCTTGAGAGAATGGAAGAGTTGGGATTGGTTTTTGAGTGGGAGAACTGAGTAATTATTCTTTCTGTCATTGGACATTGGATACACAACAAAATTTCATGATGTTCAACTGCATAATTAATGAATTTACTCAATGATGGATTAAGGGAATTCGGAGTCGGAGCGTTGTTTTTATTACACTCGTTGAGTAAAATATATTTTGATGCAGGGATGGGCAATATATTAGATTTTGAAAATATTAAACAAGGATTATCTCCTTATATTGTTCAAAGTTTAACTATATTTAACAATGTTTAAATATTATAGAATTTATTAGCAAAATTTTTCTACTGATGGTGAATAAAATATTTGATGATATTGAAATGTAATTTTTTAGTTAACAAGCTAATTCTAAATTTAGGTACTTGATTTTCGATTATCCAAATAATCGTCAATCTTCCTACCTAAATTATTGGTTGATAGAATATTTTGAATATTAAATGTACAGATTGATGGTTACTTTAATATTTAAAATTTTAAGATTTATGTTAAAAATTGACAACTTCACAATTTTACGGTAATTATGATTGATTAATATGCCTATTACTGATTTGATGCTATCAAAATCGGAACACTTTGTTTGAAAGAATGATTATTATTTTCTGTGAATGATAAAAAAATACTAGAACTTTAACTGTCACAATTTACTGCTGCAATTGGGGGGAAAAATATCCAGCAGTTGAGGGAATTGAACATTTCTGTGCCTTATTTTTAAATTAAAAAAAAAATCGTTATTTCTTTTGTTCCCAATTTTACGTCATTATGTATTGCCCTCAGAACAAAAACAAAGCTTCACATAATTCCTTTCATCTGTTGAGAAAATAAGAATTTATGAAGATATACTCTAAGTGGCAATGGCCTGACAAAAATGAATCTTCGTTGAGTTTAACAGTCGAACAAGCCTGAGGGAGTATAAGACGAGAGGTCGGTAGGTATATGGATACGTTAGGTGAGCTCGTGACATATATTATGCAGTCACTCTAAGTGGCATTTTCGAGGAAAGGGAAGGAGCTTTAGGTACTAAAGACAGAGAGAGAGAGACTGTGGAGCAGCTGTATTAAGTGCGTCCATAGATAACATACCCTGGAAAAGTGTGCGCGAGGACTGGCTAAAACGTTCAGAGAATATAAAAAAAATATCTCCGTTGTGCCTCGTACGTCATCCGAAATGTTTGCGGCGCGTGTATGTACATTCACGTTTGTCTTTTCTCTCATCTTTTTTTTTTGGGGGTACATCTTCTCACTCGACTACTCAGTTACGGAGAGGAGCCGTCCACACGTCAGCGCGTTCATTTAGTCGATTAGTTTTGGATGAATTTATGTTTTGAGATTTTTTGTCAATCTTTCATTGGCCAATTATCGTATTCATATCAATCACGGGAGTATGAAAAATGTTTATTATGCGAGGTGACAAATGAGAAACTGCTGAAATGGAATTACCATTTTTTTGCAGAAGACAAATAAGAAAGATAGGAATTAATGCAATTACTAATAAAATTGGAGAGACGAATTTTAGAAACTTTCGTTATTTTTGAAAATATGTGAAATGTGGGAAAAAATCGATGAGGTATCTATTGTCAAATATTTTCTGTTGCAATCGACTGTAATCATAATAGTATATTTCGTAACGAGTGCAAAAAAGTGTTTTTTGGCGAGTGGGAGGTTTATGTCACGAGCCGAAGGCGAGTGATATAATCCCACGAGCTAAAAAACATTTTTTCACGAGTTATGAACAATATTTTTCATCACAATGTGGCGGAAATTGGACTTGTAGGCACGCGGAGCGTGCCGAAAAGTTCACTTTTCGTCACAGCGTGATGAAAAATATTTTATCATAATTTTGTTTCGATTATAGATCTGAATAAATGCACCTGGCGAGAAGTGTTTTGTGCAATTTTTTGCAAGAATAATGACAGGGAATAATCGATTTAAGGGGAGACTACTGTGAGTTTTAAAAGTCGTGAGTTATTGGAATGAGACTTTTCATACGTTGAAGATCGATTATATAGATCTGAAAACGAGTAATTAGTGCAAAAAAAAATTTTTTTATTGTTCGTTTGCCCGAAAACGCTTAAAATGCTAACAAGAGTCCAGGGCCTCCAATTTTTGAGCTAAAAAAGATTTTTTTTTTTTTCAAAATTTTCTGAAAAATGTCTAGAACAACAATTACGAGCCAGTTTTTTGGAATTCGACTCCTACACAGCTGATTTCGGTTTTTTTCATATAAAAAAAATCACTATTTGTGTAAAAAAGTACAAAAAAAACAAATTTAGTCATGAAAGAGGTGAATTAAAAAAAACAAGCTCGTAATTGTTATTCCACATATTTTTCCGAAAATTTTGATTTAAAAAAATCATTCGTAGCTCAAAAATTGGAGGCCCTGGACTGTTTTTGGGATTTTAAGCGTTTTCGGGCAATCGAACAATAAAAAAAAATTTTTTTGCACTAATTATTCGTTTTCAGATCTCTATAATCGATCTTCAACGTATGAAAAGTCTCACTCCAATAACCCACGACTTTTAAAACCCACAGTAGTCTCCCCTTAATGGGGAAAATCCGCAATTTCCAACCCGAAATATATCCAACTTTGTCTTATCAATAGTTTTTTAAAATTCAACCGACGACTGTGAAACATGGGGTGTACTTTCATGAACGTGAAATAGGATCTGTTTCTTCAACTCTCTGTACCCTTTACCCCGTCGGGAGTATCCTCAAAAAGGGCCCCGATGGTTTCTCTCCTCGTGACTCCTCTTACTCAAAACACATCTACGCCATTTGGCGTATACCCAGACCGCTGGGGCTAAAGGGCCTCCGAGAACACACTCGAGGCCCCCGCGCCAGCCACCGAAACCCGATCGTTGTTTGCAGTTCATCCCCCGCGTAACCGAAGCATCTATCCTCAGGCAAACATCATTCCCTCCTCATCTCCCCCCCACGCTGAAGGTCCCTTGTGAATTAATGGGAGAATGCATCAACTCTTGGATATGTCATTTTGTGCAGATGCACAATGTTTACATCTCATTTTGACTTTTTCTTGCGTTGAGTTGAATAATATTCGTGAGTTAATTGCTGAGATCGTGTCTCATGGGAGTTGGAGACTTGTGACCCTCGCCCTTTTTTGTTTTTATTATGATTCTCCAAAAATAAAATAAATTTTGGAGCCGAAAGTTGAGAATTAGGGGAGGCTGGGGCAAAGTAGACACTTTTGACTGTTTGTCAACGTTCATATCTCAGGGATAAATGAAAAGTTATTCCATTTTGCCCCCCTGAGGATATCCAAGCGTTTCATACATTTTCCACATTATCAATGCGTAGATTTTTAAAAATATTGCAAACATTTTACCAAAATTTTGTGAACTTTCCCATTCTTCCTTCAAAAAGATAACAATAAAAAAAGAATCAAGTACTTGGACATCGTTGATGAAAGAACAGAGGAAGGTACAAACAAATTACTAAAATTGAAAATATTTAACCAATAATTATTATATCAGTAGCGAAGTGGTCAAACGGTTTAAGTCAATTTAGTCTTTAGGTGAGTTTTCAAAAAAAAATTCCGAATTGAAGGGAGATAGCGAAATTTTCATAATAACCTTTTTTGTAGAACGAATTGAGTGCTAGTAAAAAGGTTATGAGGAAAATTTCACTATCTCCCTTAGCTTTCGAGATATTCATTGAAAACCGGCCAACAGCCAAAATCGACTTAAGGTACTTCCTCAGTGAGTTATACTTGATGAAAATTTCGCAATGAACTGAAGACCTAAAATTTGGATCATATGTTGTTGATCACATGTGCAAACGATTCCCAAAATTTCAAGAATTTTTTCCACGCGAATTTTTGAGATATGCATCGACAAAAGCTTAAAAAGCCAAAAATTAAATGTTTGACGATGGATATCTCAAAAATTCGCGTGGCAAAAATACTTGAAATTTTGGGAGTCGTTTTTACACGTCCTCAACAACATATGATCCAAATTTTAGGTCTTCAGTTCATTGCGAAATTTTCACCAAGTATAACTCACTGAGGAAGTACCTTAAAAACCGTTTGACCACTTCGCTACTGATGTAGTGTTTCATATCCCATTGTAGTTCCATTCCAACGAAAACTGATTGCGCCAAAAAATTTTATCATCCCATTTCTCCCACCCGTAACATTTCAATACCAACGTAATATCTCCCAATCCCGGGAAAAAAATCTACTGAATAGAAAGTAATAATGAAGAAGGAAAAAAATGGAGTCAAGAGGTGGAAGAAAGCGTTCACGTATACATGGGTGAAAAAAAGAAAACACAGTGCGTGTCCCGCTGACAGGGGCGCGGCGCATGATTGCTGTCGCATTGTTGGGCATCCATGGTTTTCTCTGCGCCAACACGCTCTCTCTCTCTCTCTCTCTCTCTCTCTCTCTCTTGAACTCTATTCCAATGTCTAAGCATTGTCACCATTGAA